GGCGGGGAAATTTTTCAACAGAAATATTAAGCATCGAGCCTGTGTAAAACTCCCTGCGGCTTAAGTTACGGGTGACGGAGACTGATGAATGACCCCATGTCACACATTGTTCCATGGGCCGCCTATCATCGGTGGCGAACAGCCCCCATTAAAAATGCACGCCACGGCGAACCGCGGCTAATCGAATAATCAGCAGGGAACGTTGAGGAACGTTCTGGGGAATATGTGCCCGAGACTGCCAGAGCGGAACGTACACCCGGATACCGGGCCCGTGCACAGGCCACAGCTATGGTCGGTCGGTGGGCAGGTTATTTATCCCACAGAGACACGTGTTTGGAGCGGCTAGCCACAGTTAACTCGTGTCCTCGAGCGCCACTTTCTCCTTTCAATGACTGAAAATGGGCCCGCTGATCCAGCAATTGTGGTCCGGCAAATCCCATCTGATCACAACATAACTAACTAGTACCTACGCTTTTTTGTTGTCTTTTCTTGCTTACTACTTTTTCTATTTGGAACGACTGGATGGTTATTTGTGGAGTTATGAGTCAAGGCAACATCTCGTCATCGCATTGTGACAGTTCTGACTTGTTCCTTTTAGCTCCCTTGGCATGAGTAGTATTATGTCATGAATTTGAGTCCTGTTTATAGACGGAGTATAATGACGGCTTTGATCGGAATCTAGGATGTTTCGCACTCTCCACGGCGCTGCTACAATGGCAGTGATTGATGGACGTGGCCAAATGGATCTCCCAAGCCCCGGCCTTATCCGTGCACACCATCCTCCTCCCGTGACGGCAAGGGTGTTCCCGAAGAATGCAGCGCTCGCGTCAGAGCGCTATTTAAAGCCTCCTCGGAGCGGCAGCTGCTGTAATATTGAAGCGCTCAATATTGGCAGTCATTTTTTAACAGCCAGTCAGGCGCTATGAAGGCAGTTTTCTAGCGACTGCGCAGCTCACGGCCCACGGGGACTCTGCTTGGGGGTGGATTGACCCTAATCCTGTGCGTTCCTCTGCGCGCGTGCCTCTATTACCGGTCAGACCTGACCGTCTCCCCAGGGCAGGCTGCCGAGGAGCCCGGTGAGCTGGCCCGTCCCCACTGACCGGAGAGGCAGCTCATGGTGTGCCGGGGAAGTCAGAATATCCCCGTCTGAGTGCATTGACGGTGTATGGAGCCGCTGAGAGCGGAGGGGCGTGCTCAGACTGATCAGCCCTGCCCGGCCTGACCCGGCCGACGGGTTGTGCTGCCGTCCCTCCTCGGACAAACACGGACTGAGGTATGCCGAGGCTGACGTTGGAATGAATTCCCGCATCCACCGGCCGGTCAGAATCCTGGGGAGCGGGGTCAGAGGTGCAGTCACGCAGTGGTCACATCCGCTTGGGAGTTTGGTATCAGGTCGACGCCTGAATGGACTGCACCGGTCTGAGCTGCCTGCTGATCGTGAGCATCGTGCATGACTCCTGACCTGACCTGACCGGACTGGCCTGACTCCTGTGCAGCTGGCCGACAGACGCTCTCAGCGACGTACCAATTCCGCCATTCACGAAGTCTTGTTCCCTGTCCCCTCACCCTTCCGTCCTCCTCACGGAGCCGGTATTTAGCTAATGAAAGAACCAGCTGGTGAAACATACAGAGGCCGCTCGTTATGAAAACGATGCTGCTGTTCTATGTCGCAGTGCAGTGAACGGAACTGTTCCAATGTCGGTCCAACGATGTTTGCACTGTCATAGCTTTCGGTTTTCAGATCATCGCGCCGCTGAGAAAGCCGTACTTATGGGCTGTTTGAAATCGTAACCGACGGACACTCAAATAAAGCCACGATGAATGGTCATCGCACTGATGAAATCCGCCGAGAGAATCGTTCACCGAAGTGTGCTATCATCAACGGCACGTGGTGCTAAATGCCGCTTCAAGGGCAGCTGGCCCGATTCAATATTCCTCCAATGTCACATTCTCGAAACTCCTTGATCTCGTCCAATTTATCAAAGTAGTAACTCATAGGAGGGCCGGCACGTGCCTGGTCTGTGGCTGCTCGGCAGAACGTCTGCCCTATCACGTGCCAGAGCGGTGCTGCAGATGCCTCTGCGAAGACTGGTACCGTCCCCGTCGGCCTTTCCAGCTGTAACTCACCAGAGGCGGCTCGTACTGAGTTCTGATGAGTTCAAAGCTGAGCAGGCTCGCTGATGCAAAATGTTCCCGAGGGAGGAGCCGAGATAGACGAGGGGAGGGAGAGTACCACCCACACTCCCAGACTCTGAGCGGGCGCGCGGCCCGTGTCACCGCTGACTGGGGGTGACAGTGACCGCCGTGGGTCAGCCTCAGCCCCCCGGTGGTCCGTCTGCAACCTCGTCGATAATGCACGGAGGAGCGCTCCAAAATCGGCACTGAGCCCCTCCCGTCACGGCGCCGCCCGTCAGGCGGCGAGAAATATGGCGGCGCCCATAGACTTAAGGCGCCTATATTGGAAGATGGCAAGGAGTGAAACGAGTGACGAAGAAACTGCAACAGCCAATGCTGAAAGTAGAGCGTATCAGTATAAGTATTAGCAGGGTTACTTATTTCCATTTTCTCTGATCATTTTAACAATTAGAAGCCGGATTTCTTGCTTTTAGATTGTTTGCTTGTTTTGCGGGTTTCTAGCTAGACTTGTCTTATCATTAACTAAAGTGCGCACGGACAAAGGAAGATCTGTTTTGAACAGCAAACACAATTTTCCTCGTTCCGGCTTTATACCTATGAAGTGTTTGTGCTGTTGAAACGAAAACAGGTTTGTCAGACACTTGAAATCTTGTAGACTGTAAACATGAACCTCTCCAGCTGGATTAAAACAAGCAGTCGAGTGTTGTAAACTTTCGTGGTAATTAGCGAGGGGAAATTGAACTACCGGGGTACGCGCGGTGCACGGCAATGACTCAAGTCGCTTGAGTCATGACCCTCGGACATTTAACGTTTCTCCCGATGCGACGTGGGCTTAAGTAGGCTAGGCCGCTTTACCGCAAGGCGCATGTCATGTCTTAAGAATTTCATTTCATAAGAATTTGCCACCCAACCACCACGAATGCGTTTTTCTTGCATTGCACGTTTACCCGGCTCACTCGAGTGACACTGGCTCAGCAAAGTTGCGCAAACGGAAACCCCTGAATCTGGAGACCATCAGTAGAAGTCAGACCAAGTGAGCCGTGTTACAGCAGATCCTGCGGGGTGTTTGTCCCCCTCCCCCCCCCCCCCTCAAGCCGGCTTAGCCGTCCCACCCGGGTGTCGTGTCGTGTCGACGGCTGCCGTGCCGAGCCGACACGCTCTTCGTGCCGACGGTAGTCCGCCCGGTGCTGTCGGTGTCCGGTGGGCCCGGACCCGGTCCCAGGACCCCCGCTGCAGGGGTCGATAGCCGCTACTATGGATAATCGACACGGGCTGCCGGCAGTCGGTCCCACAAAGGTCCACACACCGGTCCGGGCCGCTTACACACCGGCCCCGGGCGCCGATTACACAGAGTAGTGTACGGTGCAGTCGTACTGTCACCGAGGGTTGTATGGGTACGTTATATATTGACTGGAGGCTACCGACGAACGGTACCAAGAGTGATGACTGATGACTGAGGCCAAAACAGGCCTGGGATCAAGTAGGTTGATAAATTCCTGGGTTGGTAGTGAAGTGCTCTTGTCGGTTGTAGTGAAGGAAAATAAGCGATTTTTTTCGGAATAGCACGTAGCAAATATCCTGCACATCAGACGGCTTTGGTTTGGTAGCAGTGATTCAAACGCTGTACTGGGGAGTATCATAGTAGCTGATCTGCACCTACACAACGCATTGCTCACATAACCGTTTACGGGAGCTGAATGGATGAATCAGCGACCGCAGAGGGGCGTCAATCGGCACTGGTCAGCTCAGCACTGGTCAGTCGTCTGGGACCGACTGTGTGCCGTGATCTCGAGGTCGAGCGAGTCCCAGGGGTGAAGACTCTCGGACAATGTCCCAGTCTCCAGAGGACAGCAGTGGTGGTGGTAGCTATACGGAGAGATGGAGAGATGGAGAGAAAAGAGGAAGAGAGAGAGAGAGAGAGAGAGAGAGAGGAGAGAGGCATCCTGACGGTCACTGGTAGACGTTTTTACCGCCACAGGAGTCAGATTTATCAGATCGCTGCGTCGGATATACCGCCGACTTTTTGGAGGTCCATGAGGCTGTTCTTTACCGAGGCTCTATCTCACGGTGAAGTCGTGCGCACAGTGCGTGTATCGATTATGGGAGGGCGGTGCACTTTCACAAACGGCCGCTCTCGCCGGTAGCTGATACGCGGGGCCGTGTTTTTATGTTCAGTTACCGTGGGTCGACAGCAGGACCGGAGGCCGAGTGTGGAATGCTGGAACGTAGATCGGATACGATACCCATGTCGGCGGACATATTTCTGACGAAGCATTAGTGAGTTATGAGTGGACGGTGACATCAGGAATGACTACGATGGGCTGCTGTAACAGAACGCTGGATATGCGGCAGTCCAGTGACAGCAGGAGTGCCCTTACCGAGTAGGGCGTGGTAATACTGCGCTGCCATTCAGGTTCCAATAACCCGACCTCGTGGGCTGGGGCTCTGTGTTTATATGCATTACTATGAACGTATTTCTTTTTCGATTGGTTACATGACTGAGGTACTCCTTACGAGTGCATCAGTACTTGTCATAAGATGGTTAGCGTTTCTTACTCTTACTCAACCAGTCTTACTCGCCCACATAATGTTCCCTCACACACACACCTGCCAGCCCTAACACGATGTTCAATCCGCCCCTGACGCAGGATACTGACCTGTCCGGTGACCCGTACCGACCTGTCTGGTGACCTTTGCTGACCCATCCGGTGACCTGCGCTGACCCGTCTGGTGACCTGTGCTGACCGATCCGGCGGTGACCTTTGCTGACCCGCTTGATGACCTGTGCTGACCCGTCTGGTGGCCTGTGCTGACCGATCCGGCGGTGACCTGTGCTGACCCGTCTGGTGACCTGCCTCCCTCAGGTGTTGACCTGGAGAACATCCGCGCGCTGTTTAATGAGAAGGAGAAGGAGCTGTCGCTGGCGGTGGCCCGGGTGGAGGAGATGACCCGGCAGCTGGAGGAGGTGCGACGCGGCAGGGAGCTGCGCCAGGGACCGCAGGGCGACACACACCGGGAGCTGGAGAAACTGCGACGGGAACTCATGGTGAGCCAATGGGGAAGGAGGAGAGGAAGGAGAGGGAGGGAGAGGGAGAAGGTGTGGCGAGGGGTAGCTGGGTGGAGACGGTGGTGGAAGAGGTGGGGAAAGGTGGGGAAACTGGATTCTGAGGCCAGATTGTTGCGCTACATAAATACGGGTGGGCGAAGCCGCCGCTTTAGACGGACGGAGGCTGCGAACAGTAGGTAGAATATACCGTTTTTCAATTGAAGAGCTATTGCGTAATCATGTTTTTAAAACGAAGCGATTTTTTGATGAGATACGTACTTTGTTTTTTAGCTGTTGAAGTTGTTTGCAAGCATCACTAAGATTTAATTCATCTTGAAAACCACACTATTCTTTTCCATCTTCCGTTATTTTTCTTCCGTGTTCCAGTTTCTTGGTAATCTGAATCCGAGAAACACTCCATAATGGAGCAGAATTCAATTTTCATTTCCAGGTCGGCGCTCACTGACAGCTTCAACAGAGCTCGCCGGTAGTGAGCGTCTGCCACTCTTCTGTGAAGGCATCAGCGACAAGCGTATGCTAATCCAAATCATTTGTAATTTACATAGAAATTCCCTGGGTCCACACCATCAGAAAGCCGAGGCGAGCAGAGATACTCAGTCTCGGTCGTATTCTACGGCTCCACCAGACCCAGTAGCTCGTGGCTTAATCCGTTTGTCTCAGTAGCTGAATGATATAACCTTATGTGCTCATTGCACAGCGGGGCTCAATCAAGTTGTATCGCCACGGTAAAGTTTAAGGTGATCAGTACTCTTGGCTCTACCGGCCTAGACGTCTCAGTAGCATCGTCGTCGAAGTCCGCGGGCCGCCCACCCCTCTGTCTTCCTCATCTTAATACGACACCGTGTCACGGTCTATCCTTTCACTGCGCGGATCCCTTTCGACTCCCGTGGTCCGTACAAGCGTCGCCGTTGCCATGTGTCGGCTGTCGGCGGGCCGTCCGCAGCGGCCGGCCCGTCACCACGGCAGCGGCCGGCCGGCCGGCTATCGCGCCGCCGTCCCATTCATCATTCGGTAAACAAACTAATGGGATATTTGCGACACGGCGACGCCCGCCTGCCAGGTCCCGGCCGATATTTCCCCTCAGGGCGGGGACGTTGGCGTCGAAAGCGACACAGAGCTGTGAAATGATGCGCTATCTAGGGAGCGCGCCCCTTCATATGGCGCCTAGCGTCATAAAATGCTGATCAGAGTCGAGAAGAGGGCATGTGCATTGTGCAGCCAGGTGGTGCAACTGGGGGGCCTCGTCTTTCGCGTTTATGTGTCGTAAATTTTATTGATTTGGTAGATGCGAGTTTCACTTATGGTTCACTGGCAGTAGCTGACGCTATGCTGTTTTCCAGTGGCTGTCTTATCATCTCAGAGCTGCGTCCTAAAATAAACGAGCGTCGTCCAAACTCCCGTAAGATAAATGAGCAGATGAGTGATAGTTCGCCATCGCCGGCCAATCTGGGATCCGGTGCTCCCAAAGAGCTGGGAAGGAAGAGCCATCCGGTTTTAAACACTATGACAATCTAGGAGGAAGTCATTTCGGCGGTGGTCGCACGAAGAACGGGTTAATTAACAGAAGGGCTTCTTGGAGCTTCGCTGTGGTCTGGAGATTCCTGTGCTAAAACAGTAGACGACAGTAGATGGCGAGTAGAGTTAATAGATGGCGAGTAGAGTAGTGACGTGAAACCGTGGCGAAGTCTTCGAAGAGAGTCGCACAGTGTCATTTTGGAGGGTGGCGTTGCCTGCAGCACCGGATGTTGAGACAATCAGGAGTGTTCGCGCTTTAGACCATTGACCACCGACCACCGACCACCGACCAAAAGACCCACGACCTACAGCCGGTGACCCGGTCCGGTGACCCGTGCAGGCCCGGTGACCCGGTCCGGCGGCCTGTCGGCCTCGACAGTCCATCTTGGTCGACAATAATGCAGCTGACAGGTCCTATTGGGCGACTGGGCGGGGCGGGACGGTATTTCCCCGGGGCTGTGGCCCGGCGCCGGCATTGTTCTCAGCATGTGACCGGCTGGTCTCAATGGTCACACAAAGCGGTCTGCGGCTCGGCCTGCCAGCCCGGTTGATATGACAGTCTGAGGAGGGTCTATGGTTGGCGCGACGCCGCTACCTGACCAATTGTGCAGAAGTTGGATTGATGCAATGTAGAAAGTAGGAAAACGATGTCTATTTCATACATGGGCTCATTTTTATCCCATCCCTATATAGTAATTTTCTTCCTATAATAAAACAAAACAAAGTAACGAAAATCAGTGTGCCAAAAATAGCGAGAGGTTTGAACATAACAGACGCCATTTTTCGGTCTGGATTGTCTCCTGACTCATACAGTGTAACAAGAGAAACTCCTCTCGCTCGCTGTAGTCCTAAATATATTGGTAAAGGTCGAGTTTAGAGAGGTTTCGGGAACCGTCCGGTGTTATGTTTTACAGTCGGGTGACTTAAAAACTTCTTCAAAGGTGTCTGAGTTTAGTGAGTTTCTGAGTTATCACAACTTTGCCCTAGTACCGTGAAATGCAAATCCTTTGCATTGCATGTCGCAAACGGATGTTCGTTCCCTCGAGTCCCCAGCTGTCACAGCTTTGCCAAACTTAACCTGCTAGACCAGTGACTGCACTTAACTTAAAGTCAAGATCAACACTTTGCGTACAACTTGGACGACATCCCTGCCGAAGTTACGCCTTCCTTTTGCCATTTCCCAATCGTCCGACATTCTCAAACTGAATCGGCGACGCTCCTGCACCGTCCCGTTTGGCACTCGACGTTTCTGGGAGCGAGATACGACGGTGGGGAGGTGCGAGGCGGGCTGGCGATGTGCCGGAAAGGCCCGCCGATGTGGCGAGAAAGAGCCGCCCATTAGGGCTCGTTTGGCAATCAATGTCGCCGGCAATCAGATTGCTGGCTGCGGCGGGCTCCACTGGCGGCTGGACGGAGGAGCAGCGCGGTGACATTCGGTGACGGCCCGACATCAGCGCCGTCCCGGCCGGCCCCTGTCGTCGGACGATTGGCGTCGGCCGGTGCGATTGAAGTCGCCAGCCGCGGCGGACCGCCGGACGGCAGCAGTCGGCCATTTGTTGTCAGCGGCGGCACCCATTCGGCCGCCTTAGAGCGCCGGAATTGCCGGGGACGCGTCCGATCGGGGCGGTGGGAGGGAGCCTTTCAGACGCCGTCGGCAGTGACGGACGGCGCGATCTGCAACGATGGGTGGGCGGACTGCATTCAGGGGATGTGGGAGTCCAATAGGGTTGGGACCTATCTGCATGCTCTGTATGTTTTGGTAAAATAAAAAAGCTCAGAATTTTTAATGATTTAATTTAAAATCACTTTGTTATAAAAATGCCTAGTTAGTTCAGAAATTAATTATTTGTGGCTGAAAACAACTTGCTTCTGATTGGTCGGGCTAATCATGACGTCACATGTAGGTATATAACTGTCTGTATATTTGGCGCAGTTGAGACATACATTTTCTATGTATTTTCCTATGGTAAATCGGAGTGATTGGTCGTGTTTTCAGTGTCTCTTTATTTTGCGCTGGTATTGCGTGGCTAAGAAGTTTTATCAAGAATGGCATATACTAAAATGTTCCTTTAATAATGGAGCTTCAATATCTGTGAGTTTTATTGGCAAGCGAAAACTGATTTCGCTGTTATTTTATCTGGAAATTACTCATTTTTTTAGGTCAATATTCAAAATATTTTACGGGAACAAGTTGGCACTTTTCTTGATTTTTGCACTCAAATCGCGTGCGATTTAACTGTATTGGAACTTGCAAAGAAGCTTGGTGATTAATTAACTGTGTTGTTATGGCACTGTTTGCAAAGCATGGATAATGAAACTCTGCCAAAGACTTAGCTACATAGCAATGCCTCAAGTAATACGCAGGAGGGACAGAATTCAGAGTCCGATCGAGACGAATCGGTGCAAATGCTACGAAGACCAGGCAGCTCTGATACAATAGCTAGTCGTCTCACTACTCTCACTCCATTAGACCAGCTGATTCCTGACAGCACCGACTCGGATGCAAAGATGGAGCTCATCTTCCAAGCCAGAAACCAGTTCTTTGATGGAAGATGTGATGCTGCTTCTGTCTCTGCTTTGTTGGCCACTTTGGACGGGGCGGAGCTCCGCTCCTTGCGTGAGCGGTTATTCGCCTGTCATCCAGAAATAGTTCCTTCGTTTGCTGGCCGCTCCCTGATTAGGTGCAATACGGGGAGCTGTAATCAGGGAAGTAACTTTCCATATGAAAGGGGTGCAGGTGCACCCCGTCCCCCATCCACTAGAAGTGCACCCCCATAGGATAAGCGGCGGCCCACACGCCGCCCCACACGATTAGCTCTAGAGCAGATGGCGAGGGTGATTTCTCGGCTACATTCCATCTCGGCGTCGTGATGCTTGTGGGCTTGGAAAGCGTCCAGTCGTAGGTATGTAGGGTAGTGTAGGGGTAGGGTTGAGTTCAATAAGGTCCTTACATTTGAAAGGTTTGAACAACCCGCAATCAGCACAACATACCACAAGTTAAATAAAAAACTACCAAACTCCGCCCAACTAATATCAATAAACATTACAGCCAAACTAATGGCCTAAATAAAGATATATCTCAAATCCTAACAGTTATCGCGGGTGATGGCGCCATGAGTTGCTACTTGCTATTATCCAAAACAGATGCAAATAAACATGTTTGTATGTCCTATGTATGTTTGTTTTAAAAACGTTGCAGCGGCGCTGGGAACTGCAGTCTTAGATCTGGGTATGTTTGGCATCTGCAACTCTTCATATACACATTAACCCTATTTCGGACGGGGAGACCTTTCAGGATTTTCTTGTACAATTGCCAAACGCCGCGAGACATTCAGCTCATATTTGGTGACTTTTCCTAAATGCTCATTGCGCACATCTCAGAAAAAAAAAATGCCGGGTCAGGTCAGGTCAGGTAACCAGAGCGGGTTTGTTGACCCCACCTCAGAAAAGTTTGCAAACACGTCAGAGCTTGAGTTTTTCACGAAGTTATTTCCTCTCATCAAGTCTTCAAAACAGTACCTGCAGTATATGTCGTTTGTATATCTCAGAATGTTTTATCTGTGACCTGAGGTTAGGTCAGAGTCGTGACCTTTACATTGCAAGCCTATGGAAAAGTATTGAAATGCGACCTGCACCTCGAGTAAACGAGTCAAAACCACCCAATTCTTTAAGAATTATGACAAATTATCTTATCTGTAACGATCCAGGTGCCATTTACTGACAGGGACACCGGAGAGGGTTATCTGAGCCGAGATCACGTGAGGTGATGTCTACCATACATCAATGCTCACAATACTTACAATATTGACAATGCTTTTGCTTACAACACTTACAATACTTACGATGAGACCAGCAAGCACTCTGCCGTTACAGTTCTAACTTCTGTTTCGAAAAACGACGTTACACACATTCGCTGCCAGCATAACATGTATTGTTTGACAGGAACAAAATACAATTGACATCTGAACCCCAAACGGACCGCCATCCACTCAAATTTTATAACCCTGACCGGTCAGGGGGCGAATGGAGGTCATTTCCTGGGCATTACACTCAGCCCTTGCACAAAATATCTCACCTCACAGTGATCATTACAACAATAGCACCGACTTGATAGTGGATTTCAAAGTACTTGCATCAGCTCTTCCTGCTATTGCAGACGATCATCTCCTCAGGGTAATGTTGTTTGGGACATGAACGAAGATCGTTTTCGGAGTTTCATAAGTGCTACTGCAACAGCCTGGCACAAAACAGGACTTGTACGCTCTTCTCTGCACTTTGCCCTTCAGTATATCACAAAAGAATTGTTTAGAATCCATCTTACGCTTCTTTCACAGTCTGCCTTGCCACCGTAGGGCGTAGATAGATTGCTGTTGCTGGTATGTTAAGGCACGGTAGATAGAAATTACCTCGATTCTCAACGCCTTAAGTTATTTTCATAAAAAAGAACAAATAAATGATCAATAAGATGACAGGAATGTAAACATTTTAATCGTAAAGTAGTCCAAATATTGGAATGAGCTTTTGCTTTTCAGCATCCTCCGATTCATCATCTTTATCATTTGAAAATTCGAGGTACATAAAATGTTTATCACGCGCTCATGTTAAGTGGGAATATAGTACACGGCAGACACATCAATTTTTGACACTGAACATTTCATCCGTAAATGTTTTAGCATAATTTAAAGTTAAAAACAGCGCGAATGGCAGAGTGAAGCAAACAACATCTTTCACCCATTGATATAACATGTAATCTGTGGTGCGCCAGATGCGCCATTATTTGTCAACCGCAGAAGGTGACATGTGACGTAACAGCATCAAGAGCATCTTTTTCAAGAACTTTTCAAAACAAGTTTCCTATCTTTCTTCCCCCATTTCTCTCAGCTTATTGATTTTATGAGGCAATGGTATGCACCATAAATTCTGTGAAAATAGTTTGATCATTTTCATGCATTCTTAAAAAATCGAGTTCCCAACCCCATTAACGCCGTAGGGAAACAGAATGGGCGGTTAGTCGACAGCGCTCCCACTCGAATTCTGGAATAGAAACAGCGACGGAGATGTGGCATTTGATGGATTTTGTTGTGAGCCTCATCTGATGTTAATCTCGCAAGTAAAAATTTCAGCGTTAGATAGTTTACGACAAACGCGCTCGGACTTTCAAAGTAAAATTGACTGATCGCCATGCATAGAAATTCAGGTGCATGCTTCTGCTCTATGAAATATCTCTCACTACCCTTTCCGTCCCCCTGACCCCTGTCCAGCTTTATGACCGTTTCCCTCCCCCATCTCTGCCCGACAGTACCGGAACAAGCTGAACGAGCAGCAGCACAGCCAGCTGGCCAGCCAGACGGAGACGCTCGGTCAGCGGCGAGACGAGATGGCGCGCATCGACCAGCGCATCGCCGAACTGCAGCAGCGGCTCCACCGCAAACGGGTGCACAACCAGCAGCTGGCCTCGCAGCTGCACGCCGCCAGCGCCGCCAAGCGGCAGGTCCGGCAAACGTCGGCCAAGACGCTGCCGGCGCCGGCGCCGCTGCGAACCAAAGATGACATGGGCAGCGAGCCGGCCGACTTTGGGCTCAACAAGAGCGACCCCAAGTACCAGACGCTGCCGTACAACACCAAGTTCCACATGAAGGAGGCGGGCGTGCCCGACAGGCAGGAGGAGCCGGAGCCAGCGGCGGCGCCTCCTCCCGGACCGCGGCCGGCCGGTCCTCGAGCACCGCCGCTAGGGGGCACCCTCAGTCAGGTGAGAGGGCTGACGGGACAGGGTGAGAGGGAAGAGAGGAAGAATAGGGTAAATGTGTCGTGAGGTCTTTTGGCGTTCGTACTCCAAAAGGCGCTCTGCTGCGCTGCACACATTAAGTAATTTAACCTCAGCTGACCCATGGAGTCTTTGACATTTGACAGGCCGAGTTACACACTTAATCACCTAAAATGGCCTCTTTCTAAAGGACTCAGTGTGTTGCTGCACCGGGCGGGTAATGGCTAGTGTAATTGCCGGCTGTGGGTGACCTCTGGTCGACCGGGCTAGGCTCGTGGGCGTTCTACTCCTCCCCGCTCGGCAAACGTCAGATGTAGGTGCTCCCCCAGTCTCAGTCGGTCGGTCTCGGTCAGCGCCAACGTAGATGAATGTGTCAGCAGTTTCTGAGAGCTGACCAGCGTTTTATGAAAACTGGACATCTGTCCGAAGGGCCCTCGGGCCGTGCGACCCCTCCCATCACCTCACTGCCGTATCGCACCCTGATAGCCCGGCCCTGCGAGTCACTTTGGCACCAAATGGACCGACAAGCAGACGGGCGCCGAGCGCTGTATGGATTTGCCCTGGCATATTATTTCCGACGACGGCCATCGCCGACGCCATTCGGCCTGTTTGTTTATCGGGACCACCTCGGCGCCGGCTGTGCGTCGCGCTCGTCGAATGGCGGCGTTGATTAGCGCAGACGGGGCGAAAGCGGCGCAGCTGCGGCACGCCGCCGATATGCGGGCGATAGGGCCGAGAGACGAGGACGCTCTCAGGACGTTGAAACGATTGATCTAGATCGCACCCAGCCGGCGCTTAGCTGATAAACTGTGCCGTAAATTCACCCATCTCCGGTTCGATTTTGGCTTATGAGATCGGAACTTGGAAGCGAGATATTGTTCATACATTTTAACGTCTTCATCAGTCTTATGTGAATCATTGACCGATAAAGTGCAAATTGAATTATCTAAGATTTTGGCGTGGAAAGCAGTAGACTCCCGGGAATTTATGATTAACTTAATCTTACCCAGTTCGTTAGAGCTGACCCGATTAGATGAACCAACGTTTATTTTTATTTTGTTATTATCAGATCTGTATATGATGTAAATTTGTTTGTTGATCGGGTGGAAGTGCGGTTATGTGGCGGTCTGTCCCCAGTACGTGACGGCGTCCGTTTCTCTCCGCAGGGCGGCCCGCTACCGCAGACCATCCTGCCGCAGCCCTACGGCCAGCGACCACCGGTAAGAGCCCCGCCATAGACTGTGTTTGTGAAAACATGCATTGAGAGGATGTCTTGCCTTTAGCTCAATAAGAAATCCTTCAATTGACATTGAATCGGTGTGGAATTCAGATCCCTTCATTTGACTTCACAAGTTTGATCTTCACTCAACAGAATAAAAGCAACCTTTTAGTGAGTAAAGCATTGGTACAGTACATAGCCCATTCGGCAGCCTAAAGCCGTCTTTGATCCGACTGGCTTAGGTGCACTTCGAGCACAGAGTACTTCCATTAGCGGTAGATGCATTGCTTAGTGCAGCCTAAGGGGAACGGGTCATTGGCTCGAGAGACGCTCAGTTTATCAGGAGTATTATTGGACCATTTTCAACTGCTAGCAGAACTAAGGTCCTGCGGCGCGAAAACTCGCAGGTGAACTAGCAGACAATCAATACCGAATATCGCGCCTATCGACCAGGCGGTATTCAAGCTGTGCGGCACAGTATAACTTCAGGCGCGCACAGCTGGTGCCATCTAGCGTCGGGAATATAGCTGCCATACGCTCGCTCGTGACCAGTCTAAAAACGAAAAAGTGAACGCTGCGTGTGGCGCACGCTTTGTCTACCAGCAGAGAACGCGCAAATCGCGTGCATTACCATCTGTCTCTTTAGCAGCATGTATTGCTCCACCGCATTAACTCTGTTATCGCTCTCCCGCGCCACCAGCCGCATGGCGTCACTGCCGTTGTTATCGGTATCCGTTTCCTGGCATCGTGCCTCCCGCCGTCCGCTCGTCCAATCAGAGGCCACGCCTGGCTGTGTCGCCAGCCAGCAACTGGCGACTGAACGGCCGCAGTTCCCTCGCACCTCGCCGGGTTAGCGCCGGGGGACCGGCTATTTATCCATCCGCCGGCCCCGCCCTGCCGGGGTCCGTGGGAGTGGTATATTGCCCCGCCGGGAAGAGGCTCCTGCAATCTTGGCTGCTATGCCGCTATTGGCTGGCGGTCGGCACGCATTTTGATCCGGGCTTATGTAAAACGGTTGGATATCGCGGATCTGTTCTCAGCGCCGCATAATCGGAAGGTGCTCCTCCGAATGAATAGGGCTCTGGAGATTGCTTAGTCTTTTGGCGCCGATAGCGCGCAGATTGAGGGCGAAAAAAAAACGCAGATTATAGTTGGACCATCACTAATCGTACCTTTTATCAAAGTATCATACGCAGCTGCTTTTGCTTGAGTTTTTCTCTGACGTTTTCCAAAGTTTGTGTTTGTCTTGCAGTTGCCATGTTTACATTTCCGTCAGCCAGAGTGTGTTTTGTGTAACTAACTTTGCGAAACTGTTTTGCCGTTGGTGTGCATTTCACCAACGGCAATAAATATTCCATCGCGGGGCGATTTTCCGTCGGCGCGTCGGTTCCGTCGGCGCGTCGGTGCACTTTCGGCAGTTTGCTGGGACGGGGCGGCATTTCACAGTATCTTGGCCCCGGTATTCGAGCGGAAGTGTTCTGGAGAGGACCTCGGCGTTTATCAGACCGGCACAGTCGCAAACAACTCATCTGTGCTCAGGCGCCCGGGGTGGGGACGGGACGGGACAGGACAGCGCGGAGGGGGATTGTTTAGAACACAGTGTCACAGAACAGAGAAGGACAACAAACATGGGCCAGAGAAGATAGGGAGGCACCTTTAAGGACGGTTGCCTTTGGAAGTTACAACTATCTGGGCTAGTTCAGTGTGGAAAGACAGCGAGCACAGAAGGAGGACGGCTCAGAAGCCAGGAGGTCTCGGAACCACGGGCAGTGAGCCGCCCTGTAGTGTGATAGCGACCCGGGGTGGCGGACGTCCTTCCTGTGCTGCGGCCGGCCGGACCGCCTCCTCACTCCTCCCCTGCCGCCCACTGGGGCCGGAGTGGCTGCGGTGTCTGTGGTTCGGTACTGTGTTGGTCCACTCTCCGTCTGTCGGGGCCGCGCCATAGGCTGTGTGGGGAACTTTTTACCAAACTAGACAGACCTAGCAGCGCTGTGTGTGTGTCGTGCGGTGCCGAACAGAACAGACCTAGCAGCGCTGTGTGTGCCGTTTCAGACGCAGCCACCGCCGGCGCGAGCCTCTGGTCTACCCCGGCCGGTGGCGCCGAGCGTCTCCGCCAACACCTCCAGCTCAGCGCGACTGCAGGGAGGCGCGGCGCCACCGCTGCCCAACAACCTACACGTGAGTACGGAGAGCCCCGGGCTGGGGAATCGTGTCCTGACGCGGAGAACAGGGGGATTGGAGAGAAGGAAGTAAGGGGGTTTGTGTTGCTGCGGGATTTAATTGGGTTGCATTGCTGTAGCATACAACATTAAAAAGCAGTGCCTTGCAGCCTCTACCGCTTGTAGACGTCAAATATTTACCTCTGCTGATTGACTGTCAACTTCAAACCGAGCATTCCGTAGTCAGCCTCGCAAGCCAACATGTTTTCCATGTCGGCAAACTTACCTCTCCAAGATTCTGATAGCCGCAGGAGAGGCTTATTACCGGAATGCTACCACAGTGCTGTTTTGCTGGCGTTCAGTAATTGGCAAACTTGAATGTTGGTTTTCGTAGAAGAGTAAATGTGCGTGGGCAACTCGAAACGGCGATGCAATGAATACAGTACTCCAGAAATTTTACAGGACCTCTTACGAGCGGGTCTTTCGTTAAAATCCGATCCCGCCATGAGCCAACATGCCCAAACCTTTTAGTTTATCATGAGCATATAACGATTTGCCGTTTTTCCGAGTCGAATAAAAACCTGTTAGTTATTTGCATTTCGTGTTTTTTAATCGTTCAATTCTCGCTTATATCTACGGAGCACGGACATACATCTCAGTACCTCCTCTTACCGAACGGACCCAACCCCGCAGCTCTGACTCGTCTGTATCTGCGTCTGCAAGCGTCAGCCACCGTACCCACGACTCCTAGCCCGCAGCCGGCTGACCCGTCTGTCACTCTGTGTCACCAGGCGGACCCGGCAGAGGTGAACGGCGAGCGTCCGCTGCTGCCTCCCAAACCGGCCTCTGGGCCTCCCCCGTCCAAACCGACCGCCAGCCGACTGAACGGGGAGACAGTACCCGAGGCGCCGCCGCCGGCAGGTCTTACCGGAGACGTCAGTCAGGTGTCAGTGCGAGGAACGCAGGCCAAGGGGCCGCCGCACCCCTACAGGTGAGATGGACGTCACGGGGAGATGTCCGTACAGGGAAGGGGTTACGGAGAAAGGGAACTGAGTGCCGCTCTGATGCTTCACTGTAGGTTCGGAAAGCGACGTTGTGCTCGGGAAGTTTTTTATCTTGTGTTCGGAAAGGGGGTCTCAACATTGGGATAGTTTCGTGCTGGTGGATTGGAGAGGCAATAAGGGTGTAGGACTCCTTGATTGTTCGACCTTACACCTGGTTTTGTAGACGCCAGACGGTTTAAGGTGGATTTCGTTAACTGCTGCTAGTTGAGACCGTCCGGGCGAAGTAATTTCGCCGTGATCTCAGCGAGATCAGCTCCGCTGAGCCACTGTTTACTGGCGCCGCTTCTGCTGTGCCTTGTAGTTATTGGAGACTTATCCACGGCCTCCACTCAAAGCAAGAAGAAAAGAGCCCACATAGAAATTCGCGTCGGAGGGGCCATTGTCAACCACTGTTGTTAGCAGCCGCAGCACCGCGAAAAAAAAAGAAAGAAACACGCTTACCATTACCGATAGCGCTTCCCTGCTAATCACACAGAGTGCACCGAATCTGAAACTGGCTGCAGCTGCTGGTCCAGTCTCATTTCACCAGTGCCGAGTATACACTCCAGCGACTCCACCGCCGCAGCACTGTCCCCTGCCCGACGCGGACCGTCGAGCGCGCGGCGATTGATGTGGGCGATATTCAAACGGGGACGATAACTCTGGCGGCGGCGACAGTTGTGCCCAGCGCCGTTCCATCCCTCTTCCCCGCTGGACAGTGTCCGGTCCACTGTATTGTAGAGTGTCTGGTGTCTGTGCTGGGAGGGAGGGAGGCAGGGGAGGCCGGCGGTCCCGGCGGACCGCGGTGACGTCTGCAGTCCGTGTCGTCACGACAGACGTTTTGATGTCCGTGAATCAGCGCGTGTCTCCCAGTCTGGTAAAGGGTCTACCCCAGTATCTACCCCTCTGAGATGAGAACACACCCGGACTTTTCCTGACCGCCGTGTGGTGTTGTTTTACAGATACGCCAGCCGCAGTCAGATCGCCAGCACGTACACCAACCAGCACCGGCCAGAGAACGGTCAGCTGCCGCAACAGCAACATCAGCAGGAACAGCAGGAACTCATCAACTCGTACCAGCAGCACCTACAGCAGCAGCAGTTCCAGAAACAGCAACAACTCCAACACCAATTCCAGCAGCAGCAACAGCAGCAGCAGCAGCTTCAACAGCAGAAGCAGCTTCAACAGCAGAAGCAGCAGCAAGAGCTGCAACAACAGCAGCAGCGACAGCAGGAGGAACAGCAGCGGCTGCAGCAGGACCAGCAGGTGTCTCAGCAGGACCAGCAGCAGCAGCAGTCGGCGCGGAAGGCCGCCGGGGACTCGTCGGACGACTCTCCGCCGGTGCGGGTCAGCATCAACAGCCGGATCGCCATGCCGCCGGCCTACATGTTCCCGCAGCTGGCGCCGGAGAGCTCGGCACGCGCCGCCGACCCGGCCGACGGCGCTACGGACCGCAACGACAACCCTGTGGATGAGGTGGACCGCGCGCCGGCGGCCGACCGCCGCCTGAGGCTGGGCCAGGAGCAGCTCGCCGTGCTGCAGCAGCAGCAGCAGGTGAAGGAGCAGGTGAAGGAGCAGCAGCAGAAGGAGCAGGAGGCGATGGATCTGGACGCCAACCTCAACCCCGCCGAGAACGGATCACACAGTGAGTACCGTGTGCTGATACATGCATGTATCCTTGGTTGCGGAAACACGACTGTTGGTTTGAATTTAAATGTTACGTTAAATTAGACGAGCTTGCTAGATTTTTACACTACAGTATGCAAAGCAACTGACCTGTACCTACCATAATTTAAAGTTAACTTTATTCCCTACCAAAGCTGCTATTCTGCAACAAGAGCACCAGAGACGGGAGCTTCACTCCAGTCTAGATATAGTTCATGGGATGACATTCACAAAATTACTCGGCGCAAGGCTTTCGATTTGTGTGAGGGGTCTGACCTACGAGATAATGAAAGGAATTCTACAGCCTCGTGACCGCAATTGGACAGCGATTCGCTGACAACCACCGTTCGATATGCCTAGCAAAGTTCATCGCTCGCATTCGATTTCCACTGGCCGCCATTAACCAGCTGACGGATTTCCATCGGCTGCCGGCCGGCGCCCATCAGGGGACCGCGGTCTGGGTCGTTTTTGATGGCCGGCCGTCTCTGCTACCGCCGGACGCTCGGCGGTCCGCGGAATCGCGTTATCTGGCAGCTACCAGTGCCGGTCGGTGGCCGGCGGTCGTTACCCGTTCGGGGGCCGGCTCAGCGGCAATAGCTCCTTCTCTGGGCGGCCGATGGAGACTCCAGCAGCCGGCGGTGCCCACTGCCCAGTTCAGACGGTGTGGAGGGGCGCCCGCAAATGGCCCCACTCGGGTTACCCGGCCGTTGCCGGTGGCCGGCGAGTGGCCGACCGGAGTGGCGGCGCGTGGCCGCTGACCGGGCTGTGCCATCTGGGCGGGGTAAAAGGACGCCACATGGAACCTCTGTCGAGGAGCCAGTGGCACTGGATAGCCGGCACTGGATGCCGATGCCATACACACAGGTTGTTTGCAGACGGACAGAGCGAGCCGAGTATCCGGAGCGCGTGCCCGTCTCTCCGGTCAGCCGGTAATGGGGCCGGGCTGCAGCCGACGGCGTCCTCGACTGCTGGCGACAATCGACAGATAATTGGACAGCGGCGGCAGCCTCGGGCCATTACTCGACATCGGTCCGCCGTTACCGGAGCAGTCGCTGCCCGGCGTCCCGTGCCGCAACAGGTTCATTGTTGTGGGCGTGTCAAACACTGCCCTCCGTGAGCTTTGGGGTTTTATGTATATTTTGTAAGGGTTTTGTAATGTAAATGATGTTATGCCTTTCCACGAGTATGCGTGGATAAAAGATGAAATGATGCATCTGAGCCCACTGACTGGCTTCAGGCTTTCATACAAACTTTGTTAGAGAAGAAGCCGTACTTACACAAAATATTCCCCGAGTGCGTGGTCTATTTCGAACACAATAGCTCAAAGAAGCATGCTAAAATGTTTGTAAGAGCGCAAAAATACAACGGGTGCATAAACTTTAAGGTAGCATACCTATCATAGCTGACGTCACGATTTGTATAGTTCATTCTCCGCAGCATCACGTCATTCGATAGTACTACGTCATGGTTAAGAAAATGTCCCCGAGCAGTTCGTTCCAGTCTGCTGCAACATCCGGTCGGCGTTCCTCCCTCCGGTTCCTCCTCCCTCCAGCCGTGGGGTCTGTTGGAGCGGGCCGGCTCCGGCTCCATGTCTGGGCGCGACTGGTGCGGACGGCTCAGTCACCGCTCAGCCGGCCAGCCGTAATGGTCAGAGGAGAGCCGACACAGTCGATCGGACCGACGGGAGCTGGCCGACACAGGCGATCGGACCGACGGGAACTGGCCGATTCCGGGCTCCGATTGAACCGCCGACCGAGAGAAAGACCGACAGCGGGCGTGTTCCGCAGACGGACGAACGCAGAAAGAACCGGGGGCGGACGGGGACGACTTAATTGAAACTAAGATGGATGAGAAAGGAAGAAGCGGAGCCCAACTAATTCGTTCGTCTTTCTTGATAGCAGTCATTCGATGGCTCGAAGTTCGGCGACATATTTTACATTATCAAGAAACTTTCTCTCCGGAATATGCATGCGGGCGAGGCGGCCGACATTGAATCCAGATTGTGTCTGCTAATTTCCGTCCAATTTCGCCGAGGACTCTGTAAATACTGCTCTGGTAATCGCAAAAGTTCAGCTTTGCTGAAATAAGGCTACACGCGTTGTAAAGTTTTTATTCAATAGTTTCATTTATGAATAAGAAATATGATTGTCGGTACACGTCGGATCGTGTAATTGGCAAAGTTTCCTGGGCCTGGTGTAATTTGGTTCGTCGTCGTAACTCGAGGGGTCGGTCTCCGGAAGGTCTGGGATCTGGATGTTGGTTTCTATTGAGAGAGCAAACATAACTAGACCAACCCCAGGGTGCCTGTTCTGGGCGGTCTATAATCGC